ATAGAAGATAGAAGATTGAAGATTGAAGATAGAAGATAGAAGATCGAAGATTGAAGATAGAAGATAGAAGATAAAAATAAATAATACTTTTTTTTAAATAATGCAATGAAATTATTTAGGGGGGCTAAAGACATTTTTAGGGAGGCTGAAGCCTCCCTAAAATAGGCCTAATGACGCCCATGGTGCCAGACTCGCGCAGTCAGATCACCGCTTGCTATAAGCTCGTCACGTGTGGCCACCAGCTCATTGTGACGTTGACACTTTTTGTACGTGACCGACAGCCGGCAGTGTCGCGACCGGGAAGGCTCGTAAGAACGCCTCGATTCGGGATTCCGCTGTCACAAGCAATGGAGGCGTAAAAGGCGCAACAACCCGCCCGAACGTTGTGCTTGAAGCTCCCAGGCTGGAGCGTCGCCCAAACACACGAGCCGCTTCCTGCGCCACGACGACATGGACAGCCCGGCCGCCGAGAACCCCGGCAGGGCTGCGGAGTATTTGCAAGAGCTCAACAAGATCATCGAGACCCAGCAGGAGCTACTGGAGAGGCAGCGGGCGCGGATCGAGGAGCTTGAGCGGCAAGTGTGCGACTTGTGTACCGAGAACGGCTGCTGCCTGAAGGAGCGCGACCAGCGGCACCTGGCGAGCTGCAGGCTGCTACAGGGCGCCGAGATCCCGCAGTTGCTCGGGGCCACAGGTTATTGCGCCTTTTGCTGCTGTCATTAATAAATCCTTGTGGTTGACACAAGCAGAATCATATCACACATTAATTACCATGACTACAGTCTTTCTGTATCTTTTACTCCTACTTCTGCTTCCATTTGTTCTTCTCCGGTACTTTCTTTTGGCAATTGGAAGATACTTTCGGAGCATGACCGCTACTTTCTTGAGCATTCGATAAATTAAGTGGGCAGCGGCGGTAATTCATGACTACTTTTACCTCTTTGTCTTCTTCCAGTTCTTCTACTGACTTTTGGCAGCTGGCAAATGCTTTTGGTGCATTATCTCTGGAGGAAAGAAGGTGGGGGTTTTGCATAGAAAGTCACCACGATTAGGAAAAGGGGAATTTGGGTGCCCGTTGGAGCTGTAATTTGAGTATATAAATTCACCCCTGAGTACAAGTCGCAGCCAAACTATGAAAAAAAAAAGTGTGACTTATAGTCTGAAAAATATGGTATGAATGGGTAGGGGGTTACAAATAAATTGGTTAAAAGCTGTTCAGCAGGGAAAGGTGACCAGGGGGATGGTTGGAGCACTCGCCCCTTTTCCATTTGATACCCAAAACGCCCTTTAGTCCGTGTATAATTTGTGTGTTGTGAGTGAGAGCGTGAGTGAAGTGCCACAGATGCCAAGTGTTCTCATTTGTCCGCATTTTGTGACGGGCAGCTGCCACGCTGTATGTTGCGAAAGGAGGTGAGTTGCATCTTCAGCCAGAGCAAGTGAATTCAGCCCACATGTTTTTCTGCACGTCTCCTTAGGGTATGAAATGAGTACGAATTAAGTTAGATACTAAAATGTTGGTAATCATCACAATATAGTTGTCCTACTGAGTCAACAGACCATCCATTTTCTCATCCGCTTATCCTCCAAGAGTCGCAGACATGCTGGAGCATATCCCAGCTGTCTTCGGGCAGTAGGCGGGGGACACCCTGAACTGGTTGCCAGCCAATCGGAGGGCACACATCGACAAACAATCAGTCGCACTCACACTCACATCTAGGGACAATTTAGAGCAGGGGTCCCCAACCTTTTTTGCCCCACGGACCGGTTTATGTCAGATAATATTTTCAGGGACCGGCATTTAAGGTGTGGCGGATTAATACAACAAAATAATATGGTATGAGCTGCATGAAAACTGCTGTTTTCGAAATATAATAATAAACACAAGGAGCGTCTAAAAATTAGTATTTTGCACACGTTATTTTAATATTGTGACCACTGTTTATTTTTCCCCATGTCATATCAGGGCAGTAACACAGGAGACATTCTCTTACATTCTATACAAACAATACAGTACAGTGAGTTTCATAATAAAATATGTTTCTCTTTGGCAACTTCTTCCGTGTGCCCCCTTTTAATTTTGAGCGGTCTTTCCCTCCAAAGGTTTCTACATGCCCCAGCTGTACAAGATCTGGTTCAATTTTCCTGACAAATATTATTTAGGTCTTCGGGTGCAAGGAGTGTTTCGTCTTACCGACAGCACTTTGTTTGTGGTGGAACCTGCCTACGTAGGTTAGTTCACTCACTTCTGCTTACTTTTGTTTTGAAAGAGAAACGTGAGTGCGAAAAGTCTTTTTCAAACGTGTGTTTGATTTAGCCTTTAACATTCATCCTGGAAACAGTTGGGTTCTGGAAATGGGTCGAGACTATGATATGAAGTATTCGATAAATCTGGCAACAAGCTCTACATGTCTGATGTAAGTAAACCTCAGTCGAAGAGCACCTGTCAATGACACTGTCACAGTAAAATGAATCCTGTTGATGAACTACATGAAACAGGGCTGTGACATACTTCCGATCTTGCCAGTGATTGGAAAATTAGTTCCCAATGTCAAATCATTTTGAAAGAACAGAATAAGAGTGCTTTTTCAGAAAGAGATTACCTCATCATCTCACATGGTTACAATTTGATCTGTCTCTCTGGACGAGATCCTCCCGCTTGGAAGAAAGGCTGTCTTTTACACAATCGTTAATTAATTATGAATAAGAGTAAAGAAATGTCATTTAAATTGTTCACCTGATTTATGTATGCAAAAAAGGTTCACGAAAGACACTGGTGTGGCAGTGGTATTCTATTCTGGCATTGTGTGTCAGTAAAATTTTTCTGGTGTGACCTATGTATTTTTGTGACAGGTTTTATTGAAAAATAACCTTTGGTTAATTTCGGAAGAATGCACATTTTGGTTTTGCTTGGGGGCGGGAGGGCTGAGCGAAAATCAAATGTGTAATCGGCTTGCCTTGAATCTTAGTATTTTTGAATACACGTTGAATGGATGTCATTTTAATTATTAGTCCCCTGGCGTTAAGTTCTTTATGTCTGTGTAAATATGAAACGTGTCTGATTATTTTCTTTGTTGTACATTGAAAATGTTTAATGAAGTTATGAAGAACTGTTTCCATTCGTAACTTCTGGCTCCATCCGCAACAGCAGGAAAAATAACGGATTGGAAAAAAAGAGTAAATTGCAATCCCTCCATCCATTTTCAACAGCACTTATCCTGAACATGGTCGCGGGGAGTTGCTGGAGCCTAATCGAACTGACTTCGGGCGGAAGGCAGACTGCACTCTGAAGTGGTCGCCAGTCAGTCGCGGGGCACAGGAAGCGACTATTCACATCCACATGCACACCGTCACCGAGTCGGGACCGAACCTACGCTCCCCGCAAACACGTCAGGCGAGTGCACCACCACACGAGTAAATATAAAAAGGTGAAATGTAGTTTTGACGTCCAGCCGCTATAATGGCATAATTAGTCTTCACCATTTTCCGAAAGATTTCGTCCACATCGCGCAGTGGACTGGGAACAAAATGAGGAGGGTGTTTGTTATTACAATCGCTGCGTCATCGAAGCGCTCTTTTATTTTCTGTGCGTTTTTCTTCTCTTTGTTGCGACGGAGCAAAAAGTGAACGAAAATTCGACATTTGAAATTCACAAACGAGATCGGAACTACGTCACGAATCCGATTGCCATATTCCATACCGGGATGTCAGCTATGTTATAACGATTGTTTCTGCTCACATATGACACACTTTCTATTTCAGCTCATAGCTTTACTGTGACCACCTTTCATACAATGCTACAAAAAGCAAAGTTATTGGTGTTGCTTTTCTACCTCCTCTTTTGGCAGAATATCCGAATCGACTCTGTTTTCCCTCTGGATTTCTTTGATATTTTGCACTCTTCCCTGAATGGATCTTACCATAGGGTCAAAGCTATCAAAGACGGCCTGAGTGTCTTTGATGCTACTTTGACAGCTGTTGAGGATGAAGTAAGTTTGATTTATACTTGCTCACATTTCAAAATGACAATAATCTTTAGTTTATCTCCAAAAAAAAAAATCGTCAACTTGATCAGTGACTGTGCCCTCTGTTCTGCTTCTCGGAGGATGGGGTCCATCCACTCGTTAAACCAGTCCACAATGAACAGGATGTGGAAATCTATAAACCTATTGTTCTCAGTCCAAGTATTCTTACATTCCCATGGCAACCCAAGGTCGGACCTTATCAGTACACAATTAAGGTATAATTCATTTGGATGAGCAAGACGATGACTGAGTTGTTAGCAAAGGTGTTTTTTTTTGGTGTTTTTTCATCTCTCATACTGTTCCATTCAATGTCATTGAGAGGTTTTTGCTCTTTGCTTTGGATAGGCAACAGGTGGCAGTGGAAATTTCAGATGGTCTTCATCCAACCCAAGTGTGGCCACAGTGACTGTCAAAGGCGTGATGACGACAGTCAGTGACATTGGTGTCAGCGTCGTAAAAGCACAGGATATGCGCAACCCACTCCACTTCGGAGAGATGAAGGTATGGTGACTCTGACAGCATCATTGATAATGCCTATCATTTACTCTTCAGCCAATTTAATTCAGAATTATGAATCTATAGTTGTTAAATGATGATGCATGGCATGCAGGTGATTCATTACCTTTTCAAAGAGTTTTTTTTTTTTTTTTGCCACACACAAAGTTGGCACATATCAGCTCTCAACTACTTTGCGATTTTTCTGCAGCAGTTATCACATGCATTTTTTTGGGGGGGTTGTGGGGGCAACTTGTATATCATGCTAATATAATGTAATACAGCACAATCGCAATTTAACAATATTACAAATCAAAACCTATTCTCCATCTTGAATATTTAAATTATTGTTTAAGAACATAGTGCAATGGTAATCAGAGTGCCCCTTTCTGCTTTGAACATGGCGCCCGAATAGGCAGCCGCCGGCAAGTGCCCTTCAAGAGCCATGCGTTTTTTGTTGTTTTTGTCTTTTGTTATGTCACATGGTATTGTTGTTACGTCGTGTGGATCTGATGTGGATTGTTTTCAGCATTTTTCGCCATGACATTCGTCAAAGAAGAAGAATCTGCGCTTGGTGGTTGCGCCTTTTTGGCAGCACACGTGTACCAGCACTGATTTTGATTGGGAGGAATGTTGGCGTCATTTGACTGTCAATGCTGGACAGCTCCGGGGCGATTGTGTTTTGCGCCTGTAATGGGCAGCATTTTCACAGCCCCGCTTTGTTCAGCGGAAAGTTCGGTGCTGTTGGACAGTCTGCGGCTGGATGGATGCATGGCTTGAGGAGCCGACGATGAGAAGAAAGGAGCGTCAGCGCAGAGCGCCGATGCGTTTGTGGAACTGGGAGTCGCGGCTTGGAATTGAAGCTGATTTCCATGGGACAGGAGATGAGAGACAATCTCTTTTTCGTTAATGGACGCTGCAGCTTCTTGTTGCTTTCAAACTTAGCGTGTAGCAGACGTGTGCACATTTTCAGCATGACGTCTTTGATCCACTGGTGAAAAGGACACTTTGATTCGCTCCTCTTTCACCTATAACTGTTTCAAACAACAAAAGTGTATGCAGGAAAAGTGGGTAAGATTGCACGACTGTCTGTGTCTTATGTGTTGTGTTGTATTATTTTGTCATTTTATGTTAACTGTTCTTTTGATGGCGGCGCGGGCACCTGCAGCGGCTCCTCTTGTTTTGTTGTCTGGTTGAGAGGAAAGAAATTTCATCTGTGCTGTATGTTGCACAAACAGCGCATTTGACAATAAAGTTGTACTTGACTTGACCTGACTTGTCTTGAACTGGTCCTTTTAAATTCACATTTTCCACTTTTGTTTGCATCAGCTGTCTTTTTGAAAAGGGCCGCTCAAGCCTGTTATCATTTTGATGTGCAGTACGCTTGTTATTTTGCTGCTCAGTACCATTGGATATGATGCCAATGACGTGTTACAAACAATCATAGTATGGCAATGCATAGTCTGGGTCAGGTCTGGATAACCCTTTTTTTTTTGTTTGACACGACGGATTGTGATGCTGCCTTCAGTTCACAAAAAGTCACTTGATTTGGCACACAATCGAGCAGTGACATTACATCCTAAATCAATCTTCCAACGAATCAAGTGACATTTTCTCAGTCTTTAAAATGTTGTCAATGGATTCAACACCGAAATTTAATGGGAATGAAAAATCCTTGTCACAATATCCAAAAATGAGCCAAGGAATATGAAGTATTTGCAAAGTAACTGCGTTTTAATTACAAATGCAAATGATTTATGTTAATGGAGATGTTATTAGAATTGTTTCTTTTTATTAGAGAGTTGAAAGCAAAACTGCTTGGAGGCATCCAGTTTTAACAATGCACGAACTTTTTGAAAAATGTTGTGGAATTTTTTTTTTTTTTTAAAAAAAAAAAAAAAAAAAGACAACTCTTTTCCATTTTTGGGGCTGTCAAGGTTATCAGTACAATTCCTTCGTGATGTTGGAGCTTCATCAACTGAAACTTGTGTACACCTTGATCCCCAACTTTGACACCGATGACTTTGAATATATTCATTCCCGTAGGTATACGTCGTTGAACCTGTGGCAATGGACTTCGCTCCCTGTCGAGTGGAGGCCCGAGTGGGCACGATTCTAGAACTACCGCTCAGAATATTTGGCCTGTTGGAGGAAGAGGGGATGGAGGTCGTCATGTTGAGTGACTGCTCCCACTTTGACCTGCAGGTTGATGAGGAAAACCAAGGCGTCTTTCAGCAGCTTGAAGGTGAGTCTGCAAATGGATTCTGATGTGTAGCAGCTGCTTCAGTGCATAAAAGATAATTTTCTCCTCATGTTGCCAGTTGCCTCACTCATCGGAGAATTGCCATCAAGTGAAGGTCACTCACTAGTAGATGCTCATTCGTTGATTGTCCTGTTTTGGACAGTTTGTCATTGGGAGCTACAACTGGTCACAAGTTGTCAAGCTGGAGCAGACCACTTAAGTATTTCATGTGTTTGAGGGTAAAAGTGCCGTCTATTTTGCTTCTTCTTATATTCATTGACTGAAGCAGTAAGGCCAGCAATACATTAATTCTACGTCAACCATCTGTTGTGTTTTGGGTAAGACCCATTTATGGGGCTTGTTTAACATTGAAACAATGAATCTCTTCAAATTTCCATTTCAGATTCAATTCAATCTCCAATTGCTAATTGAAAAAGTACACTAGGAAAAAAAAGGAGTATTTTGTTGTTGTTTTGTTTTGTTTTTTGGTGAACAATTACGGATATTTGCATTCCTCCCTCCCCCAAACACCTCTCTTTATGCCTTGCAGGTCGACTGTCTCCCGGCGAAGACCACTGCAGTGGATTGATGGCCAAAGCTCTGACCCCAGGCTACACTACGCTCTTGGTCAGCTACACCCATGGCAACGTTCACCTCAGTGCAGAGATCACCATTGCAGCTTATCTTCCCCTCGGCGTGAGTCTTAAAACATAATTTAGACTTAATGAGTCTTGACTAGTCTCAAAACTAATAAGTTCCTTGTGGGCGTTTTTGTCCATGAACGGCTGCTGACCTACTCCCCTTGGATGTTAGAGGGCACCAAGAGGATCTAGCTGGGTCACAAATGTTTGCTTGAGCCATTGTTGTGATTCTATTTTACCTCTGCCTCACAATTAGGTCAATTATGATATTTGACGTGTAATAATAATTCTGTATCGTAATATCGTATTGTAATATCGTTTGTCCTCGAAAGTGGCAAAGCCACTTGTGCAAGCTCCTGCGCATTCATGCACACAGCCTGCCCTGACAATCAAGGCAGGAATGAGATGATCAGTGACTCTTCAAACACTCCCTCCCCTCTTGGTCTTCTTCCAGGCTTTATGCATTTTAATTATGCATTATACGCTGGCTTTTCTGATTGACACACGTTTGCTTCTCTGCTGCATCAGAATGAGATGGGCTCCAAACAGTTGTAGTAGAATACAAAATTCAACAGTACGACACGTTTTGATGAGGTGACAAAAAACCTGATGTGGAACATTTCAATAATCCTGAAGTACTCTCAGATTTGCTCTTGCTGAATGTTCTATCCACCTGAACACATGCATTTTGATTCGACACTTGTGAGGCATTGTTCTCTAAACTGTTCAAGATGTTCTACTGATGTTTCTCCGCTTAGTTCTGCAGAAATTGACTGACTTGATTTTCTTGCTCTGTGCTGCTGTATATTTCAGGGCAAGTTCTCACTTTTAACATGGAATTAGGAAATGAATACATCGTAGTAGTGGTGAGCGATATGAAAAAAAAATCCTCAATCACAATATAAGCAATTTTATATCCCAATAACGATATACAGTAATCACTCGTTTTTTACCGTTAATGGGGAACAGAACGCAAGGTGAAGACCACGAGGTAGCATTTGCCCCCCCCAACCACCAAGAATTTTCATGTATGTGTTTGTGGGTACCACCATGTTTAAAATATATAAACAGTATTTCTACTTTACATATTTGAGGCAAGAATTACAACAGTGCATTCATATATTTACTTAAATCGTTGATTGTCAAACATTATACAGTATTTAACATTCATCAACAGTGCCTTCTCAGAGAGGCAAAGAGGCTTGTGTTGATGGCGTCGAAGGCAGCTCTCACATAATTCACTCAGCAGATTCTTCCTTCTGCTTGAGGTGCTGATGGTGTAGGTGAGGTTTTTGAATTGGGGAAAAACATGGCAATCGGTAGCGCTGTGATGTTCATCTTGTCTTCTTATTAGTTGAAATAGGTTTAAAATATACTGTGTGTGTGTGTGTGTGTGTGTGTGTGTGTGTGTGTGTGTGTGTGTGTGTGTGTGTGTGTGTGTGTTTTTAACCTCCTGGGACCTGGCGTCCACATGTGTGGACATGACGTTGTGGGTTGTCAAGACTACAATGTTAAATTTTGGACTACAAGGGCCTGGCGTCCACTTACGAGGACGTTACATCATGTAAAAAGATAATTCTTTGTTTTTACACTCATCAGGTCCCAATTAGCCTAAATATCAAAGAGAAAATAAAAATAAACTAAAAATGCATGCCTTGCAAGAGTTCAGGTCTTAGGAGGGTATATATATGTATATATATATACACACACACACACACACACACACACACACACACACACTCTCTAATATATACTCTATATCGTCACATTGCAGAGCTCGACCTGATAGTGTGTTTAAATAAATCATCTTTAAAAGAAAAGAAGACACACTTTTATGTTTTAATGAGAGCAATTGTCCCGATGGTGTCATTTGTCAGGCTCTTGACCCTGTGTCCGTGGACACACACATATATATACACACACACACACACACACACTCTATAATGTATACTGTATATCGTCACATTGCAGAGCTCGACCTGATAGTGTGTTTAAATAAATCATCTTTAAAAGAAAAGAAGACACACTTTTATGTTTTAATGAGAGCAATTGTCCCGATGGTGTCATTTGTCAGGCTCTTGACCCTGTGTCCGTGGCTGTGGTGACACTGGGTTCCTCTAAAGACATGCTGTTTGAGGGTGGGCCTCAGCCTTGGGTTCTGGAGCCCTCTAAATTCTTCTGTGAGTTGAGAGCTGAGGTGGAAGAAAGTGTGAGCCTGACTCTGACCAGCCCACTGTCCCATAATTATGACCAGCATTTGGTCAGAGCAACTTGCAGGGCCTTGGGAGAGCAGGTAATTCCTCCATGCTGACCAAATATTTTGCAGGGCCTTGGGAGAGCAGGTAATTCCTCCATGCTGACCAAATAACAAACTGGATGTGTATCATTGGGACTAGATGGGCATGACTTTTTCTTCATTTAACAACACCAATAAGTGCTCAACATTCTGTCCTTCAAAGATTTCTTGGTTTATACTGTATCATTGGGCACAGCATTGATGATACGGAACGATCCCAACACACTACTAATCCAACAGAAAGTTAGTTGCAACAACTTTATGTTAACTGTTTTGTTGAACGCTTTGTTACAGCTGCAGCTGTTGTGAAAGCACTATATAAATCAGGATGTATTGTATAATTGTATTCTGTTCCCAGAGAAGAAATGTATTCTCCATGGTGAGCCAGTGTCAGAGCTTTGTAGTGATCCTTCATAAATGTGCAGATGCTGGAAGTGAGGGTGCGAAACAAGGTCAGCATGACCAACCCTTACCCCGCTGTAGAGCGAGCATCTGTCAGGTTTGTTTGCGCTCCTCCGTCACGCTTCACCCTGGTCCCGGTCTACGCCATTCCGCAGCAGGAACTAGCATGCCCTCTGGTGCAGCAGAACAAATCCGTGGTACGCATGTTATTTCCCTCTCCTCAATATGACAATCCCACCTGAGTGTTGTTTTGATGGTATTTTTGTAAAATGATCAAATGCGATTTTGAGTGATTATGTTTGGGTTGTTTTTTAAGGTCCCAGTTTCAAATTGCCGCAACTCACTTCTGGACCTTGCAGCTTTTGACCACCAAGCGCGGACGTTTGACAACTTCAGCTCACTGAGCATCGTGTGGGAATCAAGCAAAGTGTCCCTGGCCAGTCTCGAGCCTCTGACCCTTCAACCCTTTGAGGATGAAAACAAACAGATGAAACTACTTGGTAAAAGTGTCTGCGCTTAAAAGTTGTTGAAAGGTTATATTTGAAGCGACCAAATCCCATATATCTCTTGATGAGCTTTTTGGAAAGAAGCTTTCACTGAATTTTCATTGCTGTCGTTCTTTGATGTCCAAAATTATCAAACGGATTTTTGCATAGCAGTTCCTCTCTGTGTCATCTGTAACAGGCCGACAGACTGTTGTTGTGCACCATCAATCGGGGATTGTTGCCATCACAGCAACAGTGCTGGATTACCAGCTGTCACATATCAAAGCAGCCAAAGTTCAGAGTCGAGTAAGTGTCACATTTTTCAGTTTATCTGATCATTGAGCAGTCTGTTTTCTCTCCTTGCTGTGACTGTGACTTACTGGCCTGTGCGGGGTGCTGAGAGATGTTCAAACCCTCCTCGGTACGCAGCTGCTATATAACTGGAACAAATTCTCCAAACTACAGTGTTTTGTGTCTTCACTTTTACACTTGTCTTTTATTGTCAAGGCCTCATTTACAGTAATGCTTTCTACCACAAGGTTATCAGCAGCTCGACAAGGAAAGGCGCATGTTAATGTTGGTTGTAAATATGAAGTCACTGCTTTGGTAATGAACAGCACCGAATGTGGCTGCTCAATTCCTTAATGTTTTCAGCTGTTTTGTTGATATTTTTGTTCGATTTTGTGCAATGCCTCACAAAAAGTAGAAATACATGAGTTTCTTTTGCCACAAGAATTTAGCAGCTCCCCATCTTTGTGGCGCAATTACAGTCAATATCGCTTGACTTTTGAAATGTATCATATCATTCTGCAAATTCGGTCTGGATGCATTGTGATTATCTACTGGTACTTGATCATGAACTTTTACATTTTACAGAATGCATTTTTCTTTTGTGATGTTGTCAAACGTGTGGACTCTTTATGCATTTTATTTTCATCCAAATTTGTACTACTGTATATCTTCAGTCTGTTCTGACTGTTCTTGTGGATAGGTTGGCACATTTGCCCCTGTGTCAGCAACATTGGAACTCATTTTAGTTGAAGATGTGCACATCTTTCCTGACACACTGACCTTATACAACCACCCAGATGTGCGGGTAAGAGAGAAGTTTTTCTTTTACCGCTTGATTACTGTTTAGTCCATGCATTTGGTGTTAAGTATTGTTTCTTTTTGCAAATGACTTCATCTCAGCTCATCTTAGTTTGACCCTGCTCATTCTTCTTAGTGGGGCCCTGCTAGCCTCAGACATGTCTGGAGAAATAAACAGAATTATGGTGGGGTCCTGTTGATGCGACTAGCACAGCATGTTCAACCATACAAGTGACCTGAAATTGTGCAATGAAAGTCTGATCCAATACAAATTTTGACTTAGCTCAAAAGCTTTTTCGTGTGTGTTTTCCTTGTAGGGTAACCTTGCCCTGCGAGAGGGATCGGGCCATTTTGTTGTCAAAACCAGTGTTAAAGATGTTGCAGATGTGGTATTGAAGGACACCCAAGGAACAGCTCAGGTATGTAGGGGCATCTGGAGTTCTAGTAGAGTGATTTAGGGAAGGGAAATCGAAATTCACAGTCTAGATACACAAGTGAAAAAGAATGATGATCCTTGCCAGTTTGAATTTCTCACTTGAATTCCTTCATGTCCCCAGGTTTCCCCCATCCAGCCAGGTGTGGTGCAAGTGATGGTTCATGACCTTTGTTTGGCATCCCCATTGACAGCCAAAGCCACAGTGCATGTTTCTGAAATCCTGGAGGTGAATTTGAGAGTGGTCGACAAGGTCAGTTTCCAGTCTGATAATTCATCTTTGTGGTTGATGCTGGAGCCGCTCGACATGATGATCCTTCTTAGTACAGAATAAAAAAACAAAAAAAAAAAACGCACACGTTCCAGACGTGCCTCAGTTGCCTTGATCTGTTTGTTCTGTAAAAGTGCTCAACTTTTAATATTCATGGAGTTAACTTGGTCTTCAGGTTTGCTCTTCCAGTGAACCGAATTGGTGATTTCCCTCTTGAGTGGCCTCATTTGTCTCATTTACAGGTGGAAATGGGCAAGTCAGTAAGGTGTTGTGTCAGAGTGTTGGATGATAACAAGAAGCCTTTCTCAGCCAGCTATTTCCAAATCATGAAATTGAAAGTTAAGGCAGTGACTTCAAACGTCTCATTGATGTAAGGGCTGTGAGACTTGATGTGTTTTTGTTGTTCAAAATAGCTTAACCTTAATGGACACGCCTTTATGTTCCTTTTACAGACCAGTAGCAGAGTCTACAGAACACGACACTGCGGTTTACCTGGTAAAAGGCGTTTCTATTGGCCAGACAACCTTGTCTGCTGTTGTAGTGGACAGAAATGAGAGAAAATTGTTATCTGCCCCTCAACAGATTGAGGTATTTTGTTTACTGACGTTTCTTAAGGAATGATGAAAGTCCTCCAGATTTTCCCGAAATTCCGGATTTTCAAATTTACATGAAAATTCCTCTGGAAAGTTGAGGAAAAATTGCCTAAAATTAATCCGGATATTAGTTGACAACATTGAACGAACACGCGTTTTGAGTTCGTTGTTTTGCTTTCACGAGCGTAGACATGTTGAGGCACGAACACTAGTAACAGTAAAGAGATCTCTTTATAAACACACTTGCCCCAGTGGAACGAATAAAAGACACCATGGACAAGACAGTTGTAGTAAAAAATCTATATTTGGACAAAAACGGAAACAAACAGATTAGCAGAAAAACGTGTCTGTCCGACTTCGAGCGTTGTGTCGTTTCGGCTAGCTTAGCTTAGCTGTTGTCGTCGATTAAAGCTTCTTTGATCTGTGACGTCGGTTGTGTCGGCGCTGATTGGTTAAACCCAAAAGGCCCGCGTATGTACATGTTCACGCTGACGCACGCACAGCAGAGAGCAGCGGGCTATCGACTGCTGAGGCGCGCTTCGCTCGAGTGGCACCCCTCCCCTCACATTCTCATGGCCTCGCCGTATCTGAGATTTTGATATTTCGGCGAGAACGGAAGTCACAAAGGGTGCACGTGTGCACACAAAAGGCAGATTAATCTTTGAATGTAGAGTATTTGAATAGCGTTTTGTGTAAACTAATTCATGCGTGATCGGCCAGGTACGGCCCCCAGCGCAATGTTCAAACAGGTAGACAGGCAAGCTGACATACGTGCAATAGACGCGAGTGTTAGGAACACGTTGAAGTGGTCATAGCTTGAGGAAAAGGACTTGAACGGAGATTTTTTGTCAGACGACAATGTTCCCTTGCAGCCCCCGGGACATTCCGCACCATTTTTATATATATATATATATATATATATATCTCCCTAACGCCATTTGTAAAACGAGAAACACAACACATAAAAATGCAAATGAGAATGCATGCGCAGAGTAGCTCGTAAAAATGAATTACCCCCTTTCAGTGATACACCTCTGCCAAGAATACACGGTTGACCTCGCACTTTGAAGGAATCTCTCGTCAGTTATTAAATGTTCCCAAGCTATGGCACCGAATGGCACAACAAAAGTCAAACTTTCAGGTCATTTTTGCACATATGTGAGGACAAATGCATGGGACAAAATGTCTGTGAAGATGAGGGAAAAAAATATTGATGATGACGTAAGAACAGGAAATGGAACTTATCTCAACAGTGTCCTGGCTGCTCAGTACAACATAAACAATACACCATTTCGTAGAGGGCTCGTCCTCCTTATGGTCATCCTCAGCTGTCTTTGGGCAAGAGGCGAGTGGTTAGCTAGTGACTCATCGATCTGTGGTTTGGGGGTTGATTCTGAGCATTCCTAACTCCCACTTACTAAAAACATGCATGTTAGGTTCAATTTCGATGACACATTCTCTATAGGTGTGAGATCGGCACCCAGAGTGGAAACTAGAGTCGATTAACAAACACATTAAAATGGGTTATCATCCGGGGTTATTTTACGATCATACTGAGCATGCCCTTATGCCACAGAGAAAATTTCTATTCCTGAGTCATCATAAGCGGCGGCTGGAAGCAGGAGTGAAAGCTGTTAAAAATAGCCACAATGACGACGATGACAAGAAGAAGCTGACGTGAGCAAGAAACCTGCTGCACAACTTCACGTCATCCATCCATTTTTGTTATCCGCATTTCCTCACGAGGGTCGCGGGCGTGGTGGAGCCTATCCCAGCTGTCTTCGGGTAGTAGGCGGGGGGAGACAACCCTGCACGGTTTGCCAGTCAATCGCATGGCACACATAGACGAACAAACATTGCCGCTCACAATAGGGACAATTTCGAGTGTTCCATTAACCTGCCATGCATGTTTTTCGGATGTGTAAAGAAACCGTAGAACCCGGAGAAAACCCACGCAGACACTGGGAGAACACGCAGACGCCACACAGGAGGCAGAATCGAACCCTGCACCTCTGAACTGTGAGGCGGATGTGCTAACCAGTCGACCACCGTGCCGCCACTTCACATGACTGTGGACGGTATGAGTCATTATCAGGACTGCTCACAACTACTGTATAAACTCTGTGTTACTGGTTTCTCTCAATAGGTATTTCCACCATTCAAACTCACCCCCCAGAAAATGACTCTGCTGATTGGAGCAATGATGCAGGTGTGTTTGAATGTGGCGTATTGATGTTTATGCTGACAGTAGACGGCCTCAGTTGAACTTGCCAGAAGAGTTCATTTGGTCCACAGTCAATCTTCCAAAAGGGACCTTTGCCAGGCTTTCTCTCGGAAACAGCACTGGCCTCTATGCTCTCCTTTCCAGCTCCTCTTTGAGTGTGCTGTTATGCTTATTAAAAAGCACTGTGATCTAATCACAACCCCCTCAAATTGCTCAACATTACAAAGGGGAATATACCCAAGTGGCCTGGAGGTGGGGATCGTTGGCGAGCGCCTGGTGGCTGGGTCTAGACCAGGGGTGGGCAATCCCAGTCCTGGAGGGCCGCTATCCTGCATGTTTTCCATCTGTCCCTGTTGCAACACACCTGATTCAATTGTTCAGGCCTCGACAGAGCTTGCTGATGATCTGATCATTTGAATCAGGTGTGTTGGAGAAGGGACAGATGGAAAACATGCAGGATAGCGGCCCTCCAGGACTGGGATTGCCCACCCCTGGTCTAGACCCAAAAGGGCCCGGCCAGGCTCAGCCCGAAGAGGCAATGTGGGTCCCCCTTCCCAGAGAAGTTCCGATTTGAGAGAGTCGGAATTGCCTCCACACACAGCTTGGGCTCTGGTACCACTTCTCTCGAGAGGGGTTGGACTCTCTTCCACTCCGGAGTTGCAGAGGCGCAGAGCAGGTGTGAACATACTCATCGCCCCACCAGCTCAGCGCTTGTCATTTGGGTTTCACACCGATGGACAAGAGGGTAGCCTCCCTCTGGCTTCCGTCGGTGGGATGGTCCTGATTGTTTGTGCCAATGCACCAAACAACAGTTCAGAGTCCCCACCCTTTTTGGAGTCCTTGGAGGGTGTGCTGGAGCGCTCCCTCTTGGGACTCCGTCGTTCTGCTGGTGACTTCAATGCTCATGTGGGCAATGAAAGTGGGACCTGGAAGGGCATGATTGGGAGGAAAGGCATCACCAATCAGAAATCGAGTCTTTTTGTTATTTGACTTCCGTGCTCGTCATGGATTGTCTATAACGGACACCATGTTCAAACAAAAGAGCGTCCAAATGTCGCAGTTCGATGATTGACTTTGTCCACCACCTATCATTGGATTTGCGGTCACATGTTTTGGACACTCAGGTGAAGAGAGGGCTGGAGCTGTGAACTGATCACCACCTGGTGGTGAATTGGCTCAGATGGTGGTAGAAGATGCCGGCTCGACCTGGCAGACCCATATTGTGAGGGTTTGCTGTGAGCGTCTGGCAGAATTCCCTGTGAGAAGGAGTTTCGACTACCACCTCCGGCAGAGCTTTTCCAACGTCCCGGGGGCTGCGGGGGAACATTGAGTCCAAGTGGACCATGTTCCGCACCTCTATTGTTGAAGCAAGCGATCGATAGGAGTTGTAGCCGTAATAAGGTGACCGATGCCTATCGTGGCGGCGACCCAAGAACCCGCTGCTGGACACTGGCAGTGAGAGATGGTGTCTAGCTGAAGAAGGAGTCCTGTAAAAGGCCTTTGTGGCTTGTGGAACCCCAGAGGCAGCTGATGGGTACAGGCTGGCCAAGCAAAACGCAGCTTCAGCCATCGCCAAGGCAAACACTCAGGCGTGGGAGGAGTTTGGCGAGGCCATGGAAGCTGACATCCGGAGGGTTTCGAGGAAATTCTCTTCCACCATCCAACATCTCAGGAAGGTGAAGCAGTGTACCAATAACACTGCATAGTGCGGATGGGGCGCTGTTGACCGCGATTCAAAACGTTGTGAGTCAGTGGGCAGAATAGTTTGAAGACTTCCTTCACTCCATCAACACACCTAGGACTCTGAGGTGGGCTCTCCTATCATGGGTTTGAAGTCACCTCTGTGGTTAAAAAGGTCCTCGGTGGCAAAGCCTTGCGGGTGGATGAGATCCACCCAAAGTTCCTCAAGGCTCTGGATGCAGTGGGCTGTCCTGGTTGACATGCGTCTGCAACATCGCGTGGTCATCGGGGAGAGTGCATCTGGATTGGCAGACCGGGTTGGTAATCTCTATTTTTAAGAAGAGGGACCGGAAGATGTCTTCCGACTATAGGGGGATCACACGCCTCAGCCTCCCTGGTCATTAAGGTCATTTCAGGGCAGCTGGAGAGGAAGGTCCATTGGGAAGTCAAGTCTCAGATTCAGGAGGAGCAGTGTGGTTTTTGTCCGGACTGTGGAAGAGTGGACCGGCTCTACATCCTTGGCAGGGTCCTCAATGGTGCATGCGCTTTGTGGACTTGGCGAAGGCGTTTGACCGTGTCCCTCGGGGAGTTCTTTGGGAGTGCTTTGGGAGCACGTGGTACCGAATGCACTGATATGGGCTGTTTGGACTCTATTGCACCAATGTCAGAGTTTGGGTCACATTGCCGGCAGTCAGTTCGATATGTTTCCAGTGAGGAGTGGACTCCGCCAAGTTGCCCTTTGTCACGATTCTGTTCAAAACCTTTATGGACAGACTTTCTAGGTGCAGCTGAGGCGTTGAGGTGTTCCGTTTTGTTGGCCTCAGTATTGCATCTCTGCTCTTTGCTGATTTTGTGGCGCTTTTGGTTTCTTCAAGCCGCGATCTCTAACTCTCACTGGAGCGCGTCGCAGTCAGGTGTGAAGCAGCTGGGATGAAAATCAGTTTCTCCAAATCTGAAACAATGGTTCTCAGTCGGAAAAGGGTGGACTGCCCCCTTCGGGTTGGGGATGAGATGCTGCCCCAAATGGAGGAGTTTAAGTAAAATCTTGAGGTCCTGTTCACGAAAGAGTGCAGGATGGAGCAGGAGATCGTCAGGCGAATTAGTGCAGCGTCTGCTGTGATGCGGACTTTGGATCAGTCTGTTGTGATGAAGGCGTTAACTCAAAACGCGAAGTTCTAGTCACGGGTTCTACGTTCCTGCTTTCACCTAATGATCATGGGCCGTGGGGCCTGGTCGAAACAATGAGATCCTGGTTACAAGCAATCGAAACGCGTTTCCTCTGCAGGGTGTCCGGGCTCTCCGTTAGAGATAAGGTGAGAAGCTCGGTCATCCGGGAGGGGCTCAGAGTTGAGCCACTTCTCCTCCACATCGAGAGGAGCCAGATGAGGTGGCTCGGGCATCTGATTAGGATGCCTCCAGGACGCTTCCATGGTGATGTGTCCCGAGCATGACAGGAGGCCCCAGAGCAGGGGTCGGCAACCCAAAATGTTGAAAGAGCCATATTGGACCAAAAAATAAAAAATCTGTCTGGAGCCACAACAAACTAAAAGCCTCATAAAGAAGGCAACACACGCTGTATGTATCTATATTAGCTATATTAGCCTACTATCAAAATGACTAAGTTGGCTACAAACACACAATGAGCCTTCGCGATTAAATGCTTTTTTTTTCCCTGCAATGCATCCTGTTGAGCAGGGGTCCCCAACCTTTTTTGCCCCACGGACCGGTTTAAGTCAGACAATATTTTCAGGGACCGGCATTTAAGGTGTGGCGGATTAATACAACAAAATAATATGGTATGAGCTGCATGAAAACTGTGGTGTTTTCGAAATATAATAATAAACACAAGGAGCCTCTAATCTGGTCGCAACACTCACTCTGGTAATGTTTAATGCCTTCAAAATACGATACAACGCAAATTCAAAGTGCATGAAAATGACAACTCACCACAGCCCCGAGCTTGATTTTCTGCAATCAGACAGTCCCATCTCGGGATAATAGGAGACAATGACACCTCAAGTGTGTGGTTTATGTCCAGTCTACTTCGTAATTTTGTTTTAGTCGCTGTTGCTGCAGAAACTCCCCACCTCACACAGGTAGGATGTCGGAAATAGCAACAGTGCTATTGTGGCGATCTCAGAGTATTCAGCCATAACTTTGATCCAGTTGTTTCGAACGTACTTTTAAGGCCGCCGTCATTTGCGATCTCCAAGCAGCTTTTTTACTCAATTTGCGGGCTTCAGCGTTTTGTTTATGAGCGTCATCGGTCACGTGACCGAGAAGTGTGACTTGACGTGAGTCAAGCGTGACACAGACGGATGGAACA